TTGATTGGGAGGCGACGGTGGCTTCTTATGCTCAAGTACAAGGCCACGTGGTGGTGTGGAATGTTGGGTTGCGTTGTGAAGTGTAGGATTGGGAGGTGGGCCAATTGCTGGCATTGTTGGGCTTTTTGTACGGACTCTAGTTTGGGCGCGTTGGGGAGGATTCTTTGAGATGGGATTGTCTGAAGTTCAAAGGGGTATTTTCTGCGTCTTCTTTTTACCATATGTGTACGGGAAGGGATGGGGTGCCGTTCCCATGGAAGAGTGTTTGGGTGGTGGGTTGTCCGTCCAAAGTTGCTTTCTTTGTGTGGACAGCAGCATTAGAGCGTATTTTAACAATTGATAATTTGGTTCGTCGTGGGCATATTTTAGTGAACTGGTATTTCATGTGTTGTGGGGATGCTGAGACAGTGGGCCACTTGCTTATTTGCTGTTCGGTTGCTTCACGTCTTTGGATGTTTATTGTTGCTATCTTCGGTTTGGCTTGGGTTCAATTAGGGACAGTGAGGGCGGTGTTACAAAGTTGGGCTGGGGAAAGGGTTGGGAAGAGACGTCGGAAGGCATGGAAGTTGGCTGGCCATTGTCTAATGTGGCTAGTTTGGTTGGAGCATAATAGGTGAGTTTTTTTGGAGGAGATGCGTTCGGTGGTATGGTTGGAGCGGCGTTTGTTCATTGTGCTGCATAGTTGGATATCTTTGACAGTGGACCCGAATGTTTTGACTTTTGTTGATTTTGTAGAGGATTTGATTTAGTAGCTATTTTGTTTGTTTTGTCTTGATGTTTAGTGCTGTTTTGGTTTGTTTGCTGATAACTGTTAGGTTCGTTTTTGTATTCTTTGTATCATCTTGAAGCTTGTAAAGATAAAATGTGGTAGTAGGTGTAGTGGAGGTGATAGTGGGTTAGGTGAAGTGGAGTGTGTGGTGAAGTGGAGGTAGGTGAAGTGGAGTGTGTAGTGGAGTAGGTGAAGGTAAAGATGGGAAATTCTAACACTGGGCATGAGAGATATCTTCGCACCAGCTTGAGGGGGAGTGTTAGCATATTATATTAGCCGAAAGTGTTAGCATATTATATTAGCCGAAAGTTACACTAGGGTCTGTAATCATTTTGTGCCCTCAGGGATCATCTTGTAATTGTGTTTCTTGTAAACCCTAATCTTCATTTATAAATAGGGGGTGATATTCTATCATACCCTAAGCTGGTTACCCAAGCTTCATCTTCTATTGTAGAATGGTATCGGGTTTAATGATTGATCATTACCTTTTGTCTGCAGTCATCTATTTACTCATCTTTTGTTCCCATAACACATTCAAAATTGTAGAATGGTATAGGGTTTAATGATCGATCATTACCTTTTGTCTGCAGTCATCTATTTACTTATCTTTTGTTCCCATAACACATTAAAAATTATGATGGATCTGTGTTTATTATGTTTAAATATTTGTAGGGTGTTTTATAACAATTTATGGGTTCCATGCATTGGGAACAAATGACACATCAGATTAAAAAGAAGAAAAAATTACAGTTTGATTGACGAGCTAGGAAATGATGAATCCGGTTGCATATGTTGATTACAAGCTTGGAGGAGGTTGTTTGACCTTGAGCCTCCTAAAACCTAAGCAGCACAAACGCGTACATGTGACATGACATAGACATAGACATGACATGGGCACACCAACACAAAAATTTTCAAAAAAATATAAGACATGACACGTAGGGGACCCGTGCAAAATATATAGTTTTATATATTTATTATATGTCATATTTATGAATAGTTATGTTGGAGATATAAATTTTTAAAGTCTAAAGGAGAAGAATAAGTATAAATTTACTTTGTTTTTGTTTTATCATTGGATTTCAAGTTATTTTATTCAAACGTGTGATGTGTTTTATGTGTGTCAAAATGTTGGGAAGTGTCCGACAAGTGTCATGTCGAGTCGATGTCTGACATGTTGTCGGACACGACACATTACCTTCTTAGAAGTGTACATGCTTCTTAGCTAGAAACTAATCAAATCCAGTAAAAAACCCTTTGATGATGCAACTGAATCTAATTAGGCGCCATACCTCTGACAAAGAGGTGCATTTTTGAATTGCAAATATCTTCAATCAAAAAGGTTTACCGAGAAACATGGGATTACAATTGTTACTACAAATTATATTCTTCAATAGTGCAAGGAGTATATAACTATCAATACACTGGAAATTGTACGAAACAGTTCAATATACCTGATTATGACCCATGGCAGGAGCTACAGAATAAATGATCTTTGCATCAGCTAGTTGGGTAGGGGGAGGTACAAAGGAATCCTCGTTCACACCAGTTGAACAAGAAATAGAAGCTCCAAAGTTCTTTGAGGAATATCTTCTTGGTCTCATATGCTTCAGGATACATCCATGGCCCATGATTTTGGCATCTGATCCAAATCTAGGATGATTCTTCCACTTGCGTATATGATTTTGTGCTAAGAAGAACAAATTACCTACCACAAGTACAAAAGATATTGTCAACTAAGGTGACGTGCAACCACGACTATGTTTTGAAGATAAGGTGAATACAGATTATAAGTGGATTGCTTATCATGCACCAAGAAGCATTTGGCTTCCTTTGCTCCATCCCTCCCTCCCCGTTCCTTCCCTTTACCACCCAACCAAACAAAACATCAAAAAAAAAAATTAAGCATAAAAGGGGATCATTCTGTCTTAAAACTTTAAAAGCAGCCCACAAGGACCCCATTCAGAAAATTGGAGAATCTAAATAATCAAAACACACATCTGAGTCCATTTCTCCATTCATGCCAAAGCCTATCCACTTAATCAGATAATGATGAAACCCCATTTGACATAATCCAGATTCAACATCCCCATTTCCAGTAGGAATTGCATCTAATATTAGTATGCCACACACAAAAGCAATTAGGTACTCTAAGATAGTATAATTGGTCACCCTCTTCTAATGAATGGCTAAAACTATGTATATATACAGATCTTTCTTGGTAATTTATGTGGGAAAAGGTCTATATAGCTTTGCAAGTGAAGGATTGATGAGGTCCTTGGGTATACACCACACAAACATATGGCACAAATTAGTCTAACTACTTCCCTTGAGGTTGAACACAATACTCCAAACCCCAAAAATCTGACATAATTATACTATGCTCCCTTACAGTTTTAATTCATATAACACTTTGCCCTGCTTTCATCGGTCATTCATTAGTTGTATTGATCGAAAAACGATTTTCATCTCTTTTAAACTAAAGTATATATTTTATCTTTGATTACCCATATTTCTACGCAATATCTACATTAACCAACTAAGTCTAGCTTAGTTGGCCACCATGACTCTCCTAACGACTTGAGGTCATGGGTTCAACTCTCCCTGCAACATCTACATTAACCAACTAGGTCTAGCCTAGTTGGCCACCATGACTCTCCTAAGGGCTTGAGGTCATGAGTTCAACTCTCCCAAGGGGGAGTTGAATTAGGAGGCAAGCACTTGGTGCTTTGCAAGAGTGGGGAGGCTAACTCTCATAGGTACTTATTAATAACAAACAACTGACTTTCGCCTATCAAAAAAAGTTCCGGTCATTTTAGCCTTATTAAGAGGGAGCTTAATATAATTATGTTACACTTGTAATATATTCCCTTTTTTTTTTGTTTAAGATTCAGCAGCTCCAATAAAAGATTCAAATGAAATAACCCAAAAGGATTATTGCCTCCCAATAGGAATCTAGTGATGAAACACCAATATCATCTAAACCCACATAGAAAAACCCTAGAATTCTCGATGGGATGATCTTACTTGTTGAAATTATAAGCATACTACGTTGTTATTCAAATTAATCTATTTATACGATATAGATACATTCATGCATACACACAGAGATCGAGAGAGAGAGAGAGAGAGAGAGAGAGAACCTCCGAAAGATGTAGGAAAGAGGGTTTGGAGCTCCATTGAGTGGCACACAAAACTTTGCCGTCGTAAACAATGACGAATCTGATCCTATATCTTGGAGGGAAAGGGAATGTTAACCGTGGCAAAACGATACCGTTTAATTTCTAATTATTGACTATTTATTTACAATCCATCCAATGAAATTATGACAGACCAGAGGCCCAAAGTTCATCCCCTGTATTGTTATGCAGATGCACCATTTATAAACTCTATAAATATTAATAACTAAAATTCTAAAAAAATTTCATGTATTTATAAAAAAAAATTCAAAAGCTCAGTGGCCTAAAAATAATTTCAGATAAATGATAAATTTTATGAAAACTTATTTATAAGTCCTATTTCGGACACTTATGCTATGTTAAGTCCTGTGTAATTTCTTATAGAGTTTCAAATTCTATTTAGATAGGAATGTATTCCACAATATCCTATGAATTGTAAATAAATGGTATTAATATACTATTATACACTATAATGGCAAAACTATATATAGGAAATTGAATGTTACTATAGATCACATTCAATTTAAAAAATCAAAAACCTAGTAAGTTTGCGAAACGTAACGTGCCACGTTACGTTACATTTATGTAGGTGTCACGTTACGCTTATGTAGGTGTCACGTCACATTATGTTTATGTAGGTGTCACGTCACGTTACGTTTATGTAGATGTCACGTCATGTTACGTTTATGTAGGTGTCACGTTACGTTATATTACGTTTATGTACGTGCCACGTTACGTTTCGCAAATGTGTATTTTGAAATTCAAATTCACATTCATATAGATATGATCTATGATAACATTCAATTTCCTATATATGATTTTACCATTATTTATGATTTTAATAACTAATATTGAGGGTAAATGTATCAACAAACTTCACATAGAACTTATGGGAACATAAGTTTTTTAGTAAGACCATATGTAGCATAAGTCTCCCTAATAGGACCATATGTAGCATAAGTCTCCCTAACAGGACTTATAAATAATTTTTCCTAAATTTTATGAATAATTTCAAATACGTGATAAATTTTATAAATATTAATAATTAAAATTATAAAAAATTCATAAATTTATAATTTTTTTACGAAATCAATTGTAATTTCTTCTTGGAGAATTGACCAGTAAATCTCGTTTTGTAGACTTGTAATTTATAAGGTCCTAGATGTTTTTTTTTTTGTGACTAAGTGGTCCCTTAAATTATTTGTTGACTGTTTTGCCCTTATTAGTACAATTGGTGGAAAAGGTGGTGTAGTTATATACGAGGAAGGTGGTAGAGTGTTTGTGTGTCATGTTATTCGAAAACGCATTAGTAGCTCTTTAAAGTTTGATTGTTTTTCACACGCACAACGTGACGACGTGAATTCCTTACTAATTATTTTTTGGCGTGTGACGTGAAGACACGCAATAATTCAATCAAATTAAGTCCGCCACATTGGAGTGTCATATATCACGTTTATGAAAAATACATTAAGAAATTTTTATGTATAGGGAAGGTGGTAGGGTATTTGTGTTACGTTGTTCGAAAAAACATACTAGTAGCTTTTTAAAGTTTGATTGTTTTTAATACACGCAATGTGGGACATAAATTTATTTACTAATTGTTTTTTTGGACGTAACGTGAAGATACGCAGTAATTCAATCAGATTGGGTTTGTTTTATATGATTTTACCATTATTTATGATATTAATAACTAATATTGATGGTAAATGTATTAACAAACTTCACACAGGACTTATGGGAACATAAGTTTCTTAGTAGGACCATACGTACCATAAGTCTCACAAATAGGACCATATATAGCATAAGTCTCCCTAACAGGACTTATAAATAATGTTCCCTAAATTTTATGAATAATTTCAAATACGTGATAAATTTTATAAATATTAATAATTAAAATTATAAAAAATTCATAAATTTATAATTTTTTTACGAAATCAATTGTAATTTCTTCTTGGAGAATTGACCAGTAAATCTCGTTTTGTAGACTTGTAATTTATAAGGTCCTAGATGTTTTTTTTTTTGTGACTAAGTGGTCCCTTAAATTATTTGTTGACTGTTTTGCCATTATTAGTACAGTTGGGGGACATGTGGCGTAGTTATGTATGCAGAAGGTGATGAGGTGTTTGTGTGTCACGTTGTTCGAAAAGTGTACTAATAACTTTTTAAAGTTTGGTTGTTTTTAGCACTCGCAGTGTGGGACGTAAATTCCTTACTAATTGTTTTTTGACGTGAATTCCTTACTAATTGTTTTTTGGCGCATGACGTGAAGACATATAGTAATTCAATCAAATTGGATCCACCACGTCGGAGTGTCACATGTCACGTTTAAGAAAAGTACACTAAGGAGTTTTTAATTTGTTTAGAGTGTCACAACATATCCACCATGTTGTCACATTTGAAAAAAGTATACCAATGAGTTTTTATTTATTTTTGGAGTGTAACATTATGCCTACCACGTTGTCACATTTGGAAAAAAATACACTAAAAATAAGTAAAAATTTTAGAGTGACATATCATACCTATCACGTTATCACATTTGGGAAAGTGCACCAAGAGATTTTTAATTTTTTTGGAGTGTTCCATTGTTGGAGTGTCACAATAATACTTGCCACATTGAAGTATCACATTATACCTGCCACACATTCCCAAAAAAAAAAATAAATAAATAAAAAAATTCCTCAATTAACTAGTGAGAGTATATATGTCTAACCAATACTCATCCACGTTTGAAAAAAAAGCAATCAACGTGAAAACTGATGGAGGAGTAATGCACTAAGAGAAAAGACAACATTTACTTTGAAAATGCTAACGTGTTCATTATTTATTGGTTAACAGTAAACTAGAGTATTATGGGTAAGTTGTATGGAATTTAATCTCGTGGGAATGTTTGCCGATAGAACCCAAACCTCGCAAAATTTTAGTAAGTGTGCCCATAAATACATTCACTCACTCCATGGCTTCTACTAACTATTTCCGATGCATTTCCTCGGCTTTTCTCTTTGTCTTGGGAGTTTTGTCCTCTCAAGCCTTCTCCTGCCTTCTCAATGAACAAACCATGCTAGAAATGCACGAGCAATGGATGACATGTCATGGACGCATTTACAAAGATGTCGAAGAGAAGAATACATGATTTCAAGTATTCAAGGACAATGTTCAACATATAAACACCTTTAATGAAGGTGCAGACCGAGCATACAAGCTTCGTGTGAATCAATTTGCAGACCTAACAGATGAGGAGTTTCATGATTCTCATACTGGTTGCAAGAAGCAACCAACCAAAGTGACATCTATCTCAAAAGCCAACATCTTTTAGGTATGCAAATGTTACGAATGTACCAGCTACTATTGACTGACGAGAGAAAGGTGCAACTACTCCTGTTAAGCACCAAGGCCAATGTGGTAAGCATTACATGTAGCGATTCTGGTTTAGACTTGACCCTTTTGATGTTCTGGATCCAGGTTTCATTGTCTTATATGGTTATTCATGTCTTATTTCTCCTTATTCGTCATTAAGTTTGGTTATTGAAGTGCCTTGGTTACATTTGGAACTGGTTGGTAGCTTGCCTTTCAAAACGGTTGTTGCCTAGAATTTTACCTTTTCACTCGACCTGTCTTTCTGAACTCCCAGTACTTTTGTAGGTCTAGAGATACTGGAGATGGTATTCTTTGCTCAAGCAGTGTTGGCTCGAGCGGTCTTTCTTGAGCTTTGTAGTTGGTTTTTTGTGCTCCTCGGAGGGGTTTAGTCTCCTTGGGTACGATAGCCCTACAGTTCGAACTCCCGTGGTTGTGAATCTGGTTTTACAAGTGCAATGTGAAATAGAAAAACGAATGAGAGTCCAAATCTGACAAATCTTTATATAATCCATCAGAGATGCCAAAAATGGACTGCATTGCCAAATTGTAGAGTCGCTACCTAAATATTTTTGGAAAATATAGGAAACACGTGACTCGTTTCAAAGACCACTTGTTCGTCATAACCAAAGTGTTCGGCTCGAGAGCTTAGATATGAGAGGGGAAGGTCATGGATTAAGCACCCCACTCACTCGATCAAAGATCTGCATCTACTAATCATGATGTGATATTCATGTACATTATATGCTCTTGTTCTGATTTATTATGCTAACTTACTATGTAAGGCATACTACGTCACCCATTTTGGAATGTTTTGATTTTTATGTTTGCTTGAAAAAGGTTTTGAATGAGTGCTACTTAAAAAGCAAGCTTGTATGTACACTTATTAAAGTCGTTCCAACTTAAGCAAAATTTTCAAAGAGGTATTTCAAATAAACACGTAGTCTCATGGTAGTATGCTTGATATGGAAACACAAACACACATGTAATATGTGAAAACAAAAAATGCTCACCTAATAATCAATCGAAGCAAGCCAAGGAAAAGAAATTCATTAGTTGTATTGATCGAAAAACGATTTTCATCTCTTTTAAACTAAAGTATATATTTTATCTTTGATTACCCATATTTCTACGCAACATCTACATTAACCAACTAAGTCTAGCCTAGTTGGCCACCATGACTCTCCTAACAACTTGAGGTCATGGGTTCAACTCTCCCTGCAACATCTACATTAACCAACTAGGTCTAGCCTAGTTGGCCGCCGTGACTCTCCTAAGGGCTTGAGGTCATGAGTTCAACTCTCCCAAGGGGAAGTTGAATTAGGAGGCAAGCACTTGGTGCTTTGCAAGAGTGGGGAGGCTAACTCTCATAGGTACTTATCTAATAACAAACAACTGACTTTCGCCTATCAAAAAAGGTTCCGGTCATTTTAGCCTTATTAAGAGGGAGCTTAATATAATTATGTTACACTTGTAATATATTCCCCTTTTTTTTTGTTTAAGATTCAGCAGCTACAATAAAAGATTCAAATGAAATTACCCAAAAGGATTATTGCCTCCCAATAGGAATCTAGTGATGAAACACTAATATCATCTAAACCCACATAGAAAAACCCTAGAATTCTCGATGGGATGATCTTACTTGTCGAAATTATAAGCATAATACGTTGTTATTCAAATTAATCTATCTATACGATATAGATACATTCATGCATGCACACAGAGATCGAGAGAGAGAGAGAGAGAGAGA